AGTCATTGTGAATGAAATTTCATTCATCGTCCTCTTTACGTAGCTTTAGAGAATTGTTCAATTCATTTTTTTTTATCTCGACTTCGCAATTTATTTCACAATGCAATTTTCTGGTAGAACGAACGAAAAAAGAAGCGTAATTGACATAGAAAGGATGTACTCGATTGGCAAATATTTGAATTTCATTTTGTTCAGAACATTTCAAGTGCAATAAAAGTAAATTTATATTAGGTTACTGACATTTATTTGATGTCATTGTGTAAACAATTTTCTCTCTCGTTGAATGACACAGCTGAGATTTTTTTTTTTTGTTTCAATTTCAGCTTTTGAGTTGATGTGCTCATTTTATTGGATTTCTGTAGAATAAATTGCATCCACTTTTTTTTTGCTCGTCTGAGTGCCAGAGCACCCATGAATTGAAATTGAAACTCAGAATTTATTTGAGCAATTGTTTCAATTTATTTAAAGCATATTTTTGAGCTGGAGTAGAGTTTCTGGGACGTTGTTTTGTGACACGATAGTTTACTGCAGTGCAATCTTAAGTTGAGGACTAGATTTAGATACGTACTAGCTAGATTCACACTTTTAAGGACTAGATTAAGACTAGCTAAGAACTTGGTTTACTATAGTAAAGTACTAGATTTAAACTTTTTAAGGCCTAGATTCACATTAGTTGAGGACTAGATTCACACTTTTTAAGGACTAGATTCAAACTTTTTAAGGACTAGATTCACACTAGTTATGAACTAGATTCACACTAGTTAAGGATTTAATTCACACTAGTTAAGGACTAGATTCACACTAATTAAAGACTTAACTTAGACTAGCTAAGGACTAGATTTACTTTATTAGAGGACTAGATTCACACTTTTAAGGACTAGATTCAAATTATTTGAGGACTAGATTCACACTTTTTAAGTACTAGATTGAAACTTTTTAAGGACTAGATTCACACTAGTTATGGACTAGATTCACACTAGTTAAGGATTTAATTCACACTAGTTAAAGACTAGATTCACACTAATTAAGGACTTGACTTAAACTAGCTAAGGACTAGATTTACTTTAGTAGAGGACAAGATTTAAACTTGTAAAGGGCTAGTTTTACTTTAATTAAGATTAGATTACTTTAATTTAGCCATCAGCTGAGTCGACCAGAAGGTAAATTTTTTATAGAACATGTTTCACAAATTTCCAGCATTCTTTCACGTTCATTATCCTTACTATGATGATTATTATTATGAATATAATCTTATTGCCTTCTCGATTGGTCTTTATGGCAATAAAAGCCATAGAAAAGCGGTAGCAGCATTCTTGTTGTAATGAAGTTTCTATTGTTGTTTATTCAAGCTTCTAATTCAAATAATTTCTCAATAAATGTGTGGAAAACAAGCCTTTTATTAGAACATTTTCTTGTGCAAATATCAAACGATGACTGTGGGAGAAACAACAACAATGATCAAGATATTGAAAGCTTTCACATCCGAGTACATAATATATGTTAATAAGATTTGACTATAAGTATGATTGAAATAAGATTAGAGAAAGAAATAAACTCAAAATTGAAATATGAGCATTTTGTGGATAAGGTACTTAACTTTTTTCTCATTTTGTGTAGATTATGTGCTTTGTTGATGGCATTTGTGAATAGATTGATGTGGTAAGAGATATTTTATGAAGCTACAAATGTTTTATTTATTTTAAAGGCTTTTGAGCTTTTATTATTGACATCATTGAAGACTTTACTTTGCCATTTATTAAAAAAAAATCATCAGCAACTCCCAGCCTTTTCCGAGTCCCTACTGCTTCCACAAAAGCACATCTATGTCCCCTCAAACATTCCAAATCAAATTAAATTCAACAAATTTTTTTGTCCACAAACTCACTTCCATATCTCTAGTAAAAATATTATCATCTCCAAAAGGTTTCATTAAATGCGAAGGCATTCAAATCAAATTTGACTTTTATGTATTCATATGTGTAAAGGAAGGCAAATAGCTATATAAATAAGACCGAATCAACAATCTACTTATATGTGTGTGTATTTGTAGACCAAGTTGCTCTTAACACTTATCATTATTATATTGAATTTTTTTTTCACATTCTTAAGAGGCACATTTCCTTTTCCTCTATTGGGGTCGTTACAAAATGACGTCCTTCATTAAGGGGGTGGGAAATCTGTGGTTTGTGGTCAGTTCCTCAAAAGTTATGAGAATATATTTTGTCTACAACAATGAACGAATGCAGGGTTGTTAAAAGTCACATATTTTATTAAGACGTAATAAGTGAATGACCCCCCATCCATAGATTCACACATTTCCTTTATTTCTGCAAAGGTCTACAAAAAAATTGTTTACATTTTATCACATCTACAATAGGAATCACTTTGTTGGGGTAGTTGAAGGCACGATAAGAAATCAAATTTTATGATCTGATAAATATTCACTACCGGAACGATGTCATGTGGGATGGGAGGTGAACGAAATAATTTATTACAATAAAATATTTGTGGAAATATTCAATTGTTAGCAGACGAAACATCAGCGTAAAAGATTTCAATTTAATACAGCCAAAAAAGAAATAATGAAAGTTTCTCACTTGTTATGTACTTTTCTTCTTCCTGTATCGCATTTGTAAAGAAAGAAAAAAGTTCTGCTTTCACCGTGAAGAACTGAGACGAAAGATGAACGAGAGGAAGGAAGAAGTCCTATGTTTTCACAAAAATTCAAATGTGAAAAATATTTTTTCAGTGAGACTTGATCCTTATAAGCATATTTTTTTGAGGATTTGTGGAGCAGATTGGGAATCTTAGGAACTTTGTGGGCTTAGTTGTGTATGTAAAATCTTATTCTAGTGTATAGTATTTGATTTTTGAATCTAGGACATCTGATTAAATCAGTGGTGTCCAACCTTTTTTGTACCACAGCTCACCTTGGGAGTAAGCCTGACATACGGTTCGTGGAATTTTCTGAGCACACTGAGTGTGCCGCGACACATCAAACATCACTGATTTAAATAAGTAAAATTCAAAATGACTGGTTTAGGATCTACTGAATGAACCTAGAAATCAGCTCTAGTCTTATCTTTATCAGAGACAAGTTTGCTTTAATTCTGTAAAGATTAAAGTAAATTATAAGTTTATTGGTGGATTTTAATGACTACACACCAAGTGCCATTTTATAAAAGAGCGGATATCCATAGTGTCCTATAATTCTGGCCACACTTCCAAAAGGCAACTCCAATTCGTAAAAATACAGCACAAAATGCGCCTTATTCATCTCAATCAAAAGAACTTCCCCAATCTTTTTTTTTTGCTCCTCGTGTTCTACTTTTTATATACATTGTCGAGAACTGAGAATCATTTCAGCAAAGTTATAGTAAGTAGAATGAAAGGCTGAGAGTAAAATGAGAGAAAAGTGAGAGAAAAAGCTGTGACTAAAGAATGGGAAATGATAAAGCATCAGCATGAGAGAAGAAAAGAGATTTATGGTTTTCATTTCAAGTCTGTATGGTGATTTAACAGGAAAAAAGGTACAAAATCGATAGGCTTTTGAATTAAAGTTGAATATATGTGGGATTGCTTTTAGCTTAACATTTGTATAAGCGCCCTTAAAATAAATCTCTTTTTTTCCTCGATCTTTAAAAAAAGGGGGGGACTTTGACTTCTTTTATTGAGATTCATATATCTCCATCTATCCTATCCATGAGCACAATATGTGCTGAGTAAATTCAATGGCACCAAAAGTCTGATTCCTTTCACTAATTTATTCCGTCATGCATGCAAGAACGTATGGGAGATAAAAAAAATTAATTGCTTTTGCTATGACTTGTTTTTATTATCTCTGTGAATTTAACATGCCAGAGCTAATTGAAATTATGCTTAAAATTAAATTGATTAATGTGGTTGTGTACGGAGATGGATATGACGCGTGCCACCTACGCAGACATATGGTTGACAAAAAAATATCAGCAAATTTAATTGAGATTTTAAAGAGTTGACGGTTTGTGAGAATTTAAGGCAAATCTGAATTAAAGCTTTGGTCTTTAAGCAGTTGCGAAGGGATTGGGAAGTTCAAAAAAAATAAGGTTAAGTTTTTAACCCCATTCTTGCCATAAAACTGATTACATGGCTTAGGAAGAATTATTGGAGAAGTTTTTACTTTGATATTGTTTATTAAGCAGGACAGTTTCAATAGTTTTTGTCGCCCGAGCTAAGTAATAAAATGGCATCTCTTACATTGAACTTTGTGCATGAAATGGCAATATAATGCATGGCCCAGCTTCTACAATCATCACAAAATACTATAGCCAATTGCTAAGTATATACTAAAGGACATTGTTATGCTACACACAAACTATACATCTAGGTTAGTGTTTACCAATCGCGTAGCCATACTTCCTTACTTACTGTAACCATGTTTCTATGTGGAGCTTAGGTGACAACACAACGTTTTCCATCTGACTCTGTTGCTGGCCTTGTCCTTAAGCGCGTAGCCATAGCCATCTTCAAAAATCAGACTTTGTTTCATAAAAATAAAAAAAATTCAATAGTATCGATTTTGTCATTGCCCCAGAAATGTCAAATAAAATGAGATTTCCTTAATTCGATACTAAATCCTACAAACTTCTCCTTTATCAAAGAAAAATTTCAAATAAAAAATAGAATTAATTAATTCCTCTTATCGCTATTCAGCATCCATTGTCTCGTAAATGTGTGACAAAATGATTCATTTAATTCAATTAACATGAAAGATGGAAGAAGCAATATAAAGAAGGGGAGCTAGAGTCATGTGTGTGCATGAGAACGAGACAAAAAAAACAGCACATAACACGAAAAAGGGAGGCACTGTCTCTCGCTCATTCCAAAAAAAAAAAGAAAAAGCATCGACAAAGAAAATTGGGAAAATGTGCCTTTTCTATCGACATCAATGGCAATGACACAGCACGAAACAGCAGAAAAGGATGTGAAAAAAAAATGTTTGTGTTTGCCTTTTTTTTCAGAAGCCACGCATTGAGGATAAAAAGTTTAAGGAAGTTTATCGAAACATAAAAAATGAAGACATGTGTTTAGTGGCTAGGAATAAAGCTACATAAAGTGAATAAATAGTGTTTAATAAAGTAAGGATGACTGTTCCTAAATTAATAAATTGTGAGACTTAAAAACAATTCCATATCATCATCCGTGCATATAGTAAAAAAAAAGTTCAAAAACATTATTGTGACATTGACCTTAATTACAATCTACAACCATCTTTAATATGAAATTTTTATTCATTGTAAGCCCACGGGTATAGTCAAATAAATAATAAATATTATTGTCCGTGTGTGATAAATTGATGAAGTAACAAACGTGAAAAGACAGTGCTGTACATAACCCATAAAAAAAAGCTCACGTCATCAAAAATGGTAATTGCTTATTCGACCGTCATTTGTCAGAATTGCTATTGCTACTGATGTGCATGGAAGAGAATCAACATTAAAATTTCAAATTTTCATTTTCGTTGCCTTGCTTGTTGGCCCGTCGATACACCGTTGGCTATGAAAAGCTGGTTGAAATAGTTTTTTCACTCTCTTTTAGTACGATGTACAGCAAATAACATCCTGTGCTGGATACTTTCCAAAAAAAACACACTGCCCAACTGATTCTTAATCTCCGATATTTTCACTCTTGCCGCCGTTCCAGCAGGACGAAAGATACTTAAAAATTAATTTTATTACAATTTTTTTTTTCGCGTGGTTCAAACGTACAGAATCATCAGCTGATGAACATAGCAAGGAGGTACGAGGAAAGCGAAAATTGTAATCACAAGCAGCACCAAATGCAAGAGATTGTGCATTTATCATGAAGGTAGATAAAGGTGTTTGCACAACAAACGATGCATATTTTGCTGGAAGTAACAATAATACCGTAAACACGACACAAACGGCAACAAATGAATTAAATAGTATCATAAAGTTTGAAACAGTCTTTACAACATTAGTCGAGAATAAAATTTTGGCCATAAAACGTGAGTGTGAGCAGCATGAGACCAAAAAGAAATCACGTACGTTGAAAAACATTTTGTTGAGAAAATCAAATTTAAGTTCGGTGCCAGCAATCGAAACTGCAACAACAACAACACCATTAACACCGACAGCACCGATAACTGACAGTTATATCACACCGATCGATGAGGAAGGTCCAAAAGAGACAGACACAAGTCGCAAAAAAGATGGCAAAAATATTTTCTTTAAATATCGCAAACGACCGACAAAGGATGATGTTGAAAAGGGTAATGCGCAACCGGATAATGAGCAATTTAAGGAAGTGCCATCGAAATTTAACGATGATGATGAGCTAGTGAATGTAATTGTAGTTCCAAACGAATCGATAAATCAGCAATCAGACGATAAAGATGTGGTAGATGTCAAATTAGATAGTCAATCAAATGAATTAGTTATAGCTGCCGATGTCGATGCCAGAAATTTATTTAATCTTCCCGTATCTAATGCTAAGCTTATTACAGACGATAAACAAAGTAATTGTGATAAATTAATTATTAATAGTCATACGACGGATAATAACAATGCACAAGTAACGCTGAGCACAACTAAAAGTAATAATTGTAATGTCGAACGAAAGCAGAACGTGACGTCATTCGTTCAGCAGCAACAACATACAGAAAAGGTGGTGGAAAATTTGGAATTAGCAGCAAAGGCGATAAATAATGAAAATGATGAAAGTTTAGCAACGACAATTGACATTAGTTTACAGCAATCGTCTGTTATTGTACTAAGTAGTAAGGAACATGCTGGTGAACTGCCAATCAATAATCAAATCAATAATAATAGTAGTAATAACAATAATGTTAATGACAAAAGTGATGTTGCAATATGTGACGATGGTCTATCCAGTCAGAATACAAGTGATATTGAATTCTCATTAGTAAGCGAAAATTCTATTAGTGACTTGCCTGAAAAGCTTCGCAAAAAAGTAACAGCCGGTGTAACAGCAGCGACAACAACTGTAACTAATTCCGATCCAATTATTAAGAAATCAGTCAATGTTATATCGCCTCCTTTGACACGTCTTGAGAAGAAGCCTTGCGAGCGGAAAGCGAAAAGTTGTCAATCGACGCCTATTTTTGGTCGACACAAGCACGTCCGTAGCGAGAGTGAGGGAAAGAAGATTCTGACTTTTCAAAGAGAATTGCCAACAAAAAAGTACGAGACAAAAATCACAGATGCAGTAAAATCGGAAACAATTGTAATTGCCCCAGCGTCAACATCTGCAGCGATAGCGACAATAACGACAACGACATTAGCATCAAAATCCATACCACCGGCACCATTAGAGTCTGTTCATATGACAACGACTAAAAAAATTCAAAAGCATTCGTCAAAGCATCGCGATGTGTCGATTGAATACGAAATTACTTATGATGATGACAATGATAATCAATCACCGCATGGATTCATATCAAGCTTCAATCAATTGACATCACAAAAGCAACCTGCAGCTATAATATCGGCAAATCTTAAGAAACAGACGTCGAAGCAGGTGAAAGGACTGCAAGCGAAAGACAGCATTAAAAGTCAGCATGAGACCGAAAAGACTGTCACGAATCAAGAAGTAGAGCTTGAGTTGGACGAATTAAATGTGGATGTAGTCAATAAAAAGAAAAGAAGACGAAGTAAGTATAATAGAAAAATTTATGGTCAGGAAATTATTATTATGTGCAGGGGGTAGACAGCTTCAAGTTTTATGTGTTCTTCTTAATGTTTGGAGCAGTTTGGAGCTTCAAACTTGCTGCGAGGATTTAATGATAATTTGATTTTTTTTTTGTAAATGGCAATTTTACCACCCAACAGAGAGAAATTTAATAGAGCTGATTTACTAATTACTTATGCATACCTAATAACTAGATGTTGACATTTTTCCCACGCACTTAAACACTTTGGTGTTGAAACTAAGCAGCAAATAATACATAATCACGAATAATTGCTTTTAACAGATTCCTGTAGTTCTGTTCTATGTTATTAAGTCCTACTAAGTGCAACAAAAGCTATATACTTACGTGTATCACCATATTAGCACAATTTGGACACTTTAGTATTATTAAATGTGATATTATTTTTATGGTAGCAACCTTCAGTCAGTAAAGACTTAATAAGTCTAGAATTAGACACATTTGATCTAACAAGAAAGGAATAAAGTGTAATTTAATAATAATAATAATAATAATAATTTCACACAGTTGTCCAATTTCTTCCTTATTTGTTCAAATCAACCTTCATTGCTTCCAGAAAGTTCACTATTCCCGATTGACAAAAAAATTATTAAACTCTTCCTGAATAGTTTAACTTGCCAAAAGCTTAATAATTTATGTAAATCAGCTCCTAAAGCTCTCAAACTCCCAGCAACTATAATAAAAAATTTTATGCAAATTAAGTTATAGAATTTTTCTTTCTCTTTTAGGACACAGCAGTCGTTCTGATCCTGTTTATCCTTCAACATCAACAACAGGACTTAAACATTGCATTCTTAGTCGACCACCAAATCAACCGATGTAAGTTAATGAATAATGCAGCAAATTAAGAGTACAATAAGAAAGGCATGGCAGCAACAAGCCACAATAGTGCCATTTATGAATCATAAAAGTTTTTAATTTAAGGAAGAAAGCATTATTTAAAGTTCATTCTTTCGTTCTGCAATATTTCCCACGACAGGAAAAAAAAGAGAAAGCAAGCATCAAGAAGAGTTAACAAAAAATAGTTTTTTCAAGTACAATAAATGGAAGTTGTATTGCTGTTGCTGGGAAACTATGAATGAAAAATGTTTTCTTTATTAAAATGTATAGCATGGGAAACAATAACAGTACGCGAAATTAGGTCGGAGAGATTAAAAATTCATCTGCATTGACGTGGAGAGCTTGCTAAATTGCGAGCGATGAAATAGATTGAGAAGTTTAGGGATTTGGTACTCGGGTGATTTGAAAAATAATTATTTTCTGATTGAAAAATAAGATTTTTGAGAAATTTTGAATCAAAAATTTTATATTTTAAGAAGTTTTCAAAGCTTTTAGAGTTTAACAGTTATTTTTCAAATTGTTCAAATTTAAAGCTTTTTGTTAAAAGTAATTCAAATTTTGATCGTTAAAATTCAAAATCAATTCGACGGTTACAGTTTAAAATTAATTTGACGGTTATATTTCAAAAATAAAAAGACCGTTAATGTTTTGCCTCATTTTCAAAATCCATATTTATAACCACAATATACACTAAAGAAACACAGAGAGTCGAGCGACGCTGAAAATTTTGTGGTTATGCATTGGGAATTACGCGAACGAGAAAGTATGAGTGAGGTTTAGAAATTCATTTAGATTACTGCAAAGCACAACCTTCCGTTGCATACTTAAATATTAAAATCTGTGTTAAAGGAGACCTTCAAGCCGCAACTTATGCATGTGTATGACAATATCCAATAAATTTACATTTGATGCTATTATCTCCATATTCCATTGCCATTCCGCTCAGATAAATATGATAAATGGCAAATGATGCCTTATATTATTTTTTTCAATGAGGTTCAGCTTGCTAGCATTTCCGGTTCTACTTGAGAGAGCACGAGCTAAATATGAAAATTATTTCATTCTAACTGTCTATCCGGAAACTATAAACTTATGCGTTTCGATTATGGCTTCGATTATCAAATGAATTTATGTTTTTTTGGCATTAATGTTTTTTGTTTATCAATAGAAAAATAGTCCATAAATCATATGTCCGCGATTCCAAATGCTACATTCTATAATCAAAACATACGTCTAAGTAAAGTGCTCGAAAAACAAGAATAAATGCTTATTTCAAGAGAACTTTTTTGGTACTCGTTGTGAGCACCATCAGCAAGAGTAATGTTTTTGATACTTGCTACATCCTAAAGTTCCATTTTAATACACACTTTTATAATCCTTTGATTAGCAGTGCATGAAATTCGTTAAAAGAATTATACAAAAAGTGGCAATAAGAGCAACTTTTTTTCGAAATGTTATAAAAATATCAAAATGGAATTAAATGTTTCGTAATTTTGGATGTGCTGTTCTCAAAATTTAATTAAAAATTGTCGCGAAATATACAAATCGAGCTACATGACTAGAATATCAAAAAAATGCACAATCTTCCCTGGAATTGAACCTAGACCGTCAAAATCGATTAATCAACTTTGTAACCAACGAGACCACTGTAGCTCATTCTTTACTATTGCTATTCTGGCTGATTGTCGTTCCCATTCTAGTTTAGAACATTAATCTTTCCTGTGGTGTCTGAGAAAAGTGTAAGCTTAGGTGTCAAGCGATATATAGGAGAATCTGCCAGTGCGAGCGTTGAGCATCTGTGGACCGTGTGGTTAGACAACAGATCGTATATCTGTAACCCTCTTTTATAAGGACGTGGGTTCGATTCCCACTAGAGATTGATCTCTCAATCATTGTATAGATGATAAGAAGCCATGTCGAAAACTGCACAGGGTGTGCGGTTCGTAGTATTTTCAAAAAAATTCTACGACACACTAGAATGCCGCAGCAAACAGTTTAGTCAACACTGATATAAAGTTTTGTCGATATGTCAAGGATGGATTCGCATTTCGCTCTCTTTAATTCCGCGTCATAAATAAAGCAAAAAAATTCATTAAAATTAAAAATCACTGCAGAAGTTGTGACTGCAAACATCACTCTATTTACTGTTACCATTTCCACTTCAATTACTGCATTCAAAAAAAATCCATCGAAAATTCAGGAAGTACTAAAATTTATTCTCTCTATTTATCCGCGATTTAACTTTTTCAACTATAAAGCTACACACAAAAAAATGATAGCAACAAAAAAAACTCAAATGCCTCAGGAAGCGATCTTGATTAATGTTTTTTTAGCTGCTTCTCATAAATAAAAAGAATGTCGACTATCGTTTTCAGTGATGGATGAGAATGAAATGAAATGCTTGTTAATTTATGAAGCATCGTCTGCTCGTAGTTAGAGTGGGACATAAATATATCTAATCACAAAATTTTTACTATCTCGTCCAATATAAACTTTTTTTTTTCTCTCATCTCATTGTATGCAGCCAAATCGATTACGATCAAGGCTTTATGTATGATGTTTCACTTCAAATCGAATCTGAATTCAATGGAGATGTAAAATCGATAGTGCCTGATGAGCGTAAAAGACATAGACGCAAGTAAGTCTCGTTGTGAATTTTCTGAGTTTTTAAAACCTTTCCTTCCTCTCTAGCTTTGTCCTTACATCTAATTATCTTTTTATAACAGGAATTCAGACTGTTTAAAGGAAATTTCGGACATTTTGAGATTAGGGGGGGGGGGGGGGGGGTAACCATGAAAAGAAGAATAGAAATTTTTAGAAAAAAGACCGTTAATTTCGGACGTCATAAGTGAACGACCCCTTAAAATTTGGAAGATATTTAAGCAAGGGAAGACAACTATGTTCCCCCACCTAGTTGTTTACCCCTTGCATTTGCCTAGTTTAGTAAGAAGGAAGCATTCGCTCTTGCTTAATATCACTCCCCCAAAAAAGCATCCTTCTTCTCTTCATTTAACTTAATCTATTTATTACATCTATACCAAAACTTTTTAACAATCCTCATTGTCGTAGGCACCACGATCATGAAAGATGTCGCAAGAAGAAAAAGAAGCGGAAAATTTTCGTTCATAATTTGGATGATAAGAGCCTGAAGGTAAGCAAAATAAATGGAAAAAAATCCAAATAGGATGAGATCAAATATGCCGGATGAATGTTTATTCATAATTTTTAAAATTGATTCTGTTTAGGTAATCGATCCAGATTCGGAGGAGCTTCCTCAACGAGCAAAATTCACAATAATCGCAACTGCATGTCTACTACTAATAATGTGTCTATTACTTGTTGGAGTTACTCTACGTATGGCACCGCTAATAGATGACATGGGTGAGTACAATGAAGTTTTTTTTTAATATTATTCTGTAAACATAAAAGCATCATCACATGCACACACATTCATCCAATATTATACCTTTATTGACATCTTATCATAATCATCATATTATGTACACATTTAAGATATTCTTTACACCTATGTTATATAGTCAGGCGATCATTCATCTTCCTTTATTTTTTTAATGTATACAATTTTTTCTCCTCTAATGAGAAACTTATTCATGCTTGAATTGTCGAAAAAGAAATTACAGTGGATAGTGCTTTTGATAAGCTATGCAATGTAGAAGTGCTGTACGGTATCGAGAGGTTAAGAGGATATTAAAGTGCAGAGCCAAAAATATTTGTATTGTAAAACTTAAAGGGAAGGGGGGGGGGGGGGGGAAGATGAGGATTGTGGGGGCTACATCCCTGGGCTTTTTTTTAAAAACGATTAAATTTTAAATCCAAACCTTATTTGAAAGTACATTTCTCAATGTTTAATTGATTCTACACCACTACTAAGTTATTCCAGTAATGGACAACCTTTTTTGTGCCACGGCACACCTTGCTGGTAAGCCATGATCAAAACCACACACGATTCGTGGGGGTTCACAATTTTTTTGCGACACAATTTAGTGTGCCGCGGTCCATAGGTTGGCCATAACTGAGCTAGTAAAAAAAAACTAGTTCACATTCACTCATCTGAAAGTAATTTCAATCTTCAAGAGCCATCCCACATGATTTAAATGATAAATTACATCCTTCAACAACTAAATAAGAAAAACTTTTCAATATTTCAACAAAAAAAGTCTATCAATATCCTTAACAATAGACAATCCCTTTGGTGGGAATAAAAATTTAAAACTTTGCATTCCTTTTTTAAAAAAAAATTTTTGTACATCACTGCAGTTTGTAGAAGTATGTCTAACTCACAGCATGAGCACCACACACACAACTCGACATCTTTAAGTAATTCTTGATCCTCACTCAATCCACATGAGCACGTATGAATGCAAATGACATCAACAAATTATTGACATTTTTAGTATTTTTATACCAAACAGTATTGAGACTTGAATATTGCGAATATATGAAGGAAGTGGAAGAGAAAAAAAAGAGAGTCCTCTTTGGTATATCCTTAATGTTTGTATCGCAGCACTACACTTATGCTTGCGTATCATCCTACAGTATAATATTCACGTCCTTGGGCTGTTTATTTCATTTTTTTTTGTTTCCCTCCTTGTTTCTGTCTTTCTTCTACTCTTTGTGTTTATCTTTTTCTTTTTTCTTGAGATGAACGAAAAAAAAGGGCTTCAATTTTCAAGTAGAATGGAGAATGATGAAAAATTGAGAATAAAAAGAAAATGTAATATATAAAATATAAAAACATATATATACAGTGTATGTGAAAAAGAAGTTGTTGTTAAAAGAAGAATGAGAAGAAAAATACCACAGACGTATTCATTTCTTTAGGGGACATGAAACAATATTGCAAAAATATGAATTTCTAATGAATAATTCAAAAATGCTCGAATGAAAGGAACTGCCTTGCTTTCTTTCTTTTCTTCTGAGCCTTCTTTTCTATCTATGCTTAAAGTGATTCATTTATTCAAAGCTTCTTCGATGGTTTAAGCTTCTGCTGGATTGGACAGGGTTGGGATTATGTGCAATTTTGCGCCAACTTCACTTCTTTTAATGCTGAATTCACTTCTTTCACTTGTCATTTGAACCCAACTTCATATCATTTGAAGCCAACTTAAGGTCAATTGCTGCCTACTTCGTGAATTTAGAGCTAACTTCGTGTCATTTAAGATAACTTCATATTGAATAGCGTTAACTTCATGGCAATTAGCGCCGATTTCATGTCAATTAAAGTCAACTTCATGTTATGTACAGCTTACTGCTGTAGCGGACAAAAAAGATAAATATATAAAAATAATAAACTTTGTTACCCAAACAGCCGAAAAGATGAAAAATAATATGGAGTCGCTTCACTGGATCTCGTCTGGATCTCAAAGATAATGAAAATATCCGAAAAATCAGATATTTACGAGTAAATACACAGATTTCCCTCTTTTATCGAGGATAGTAGATCTGTGACGCAAGTTAAGTCACACTCGAGAGTCAAAATCGGTAAATAACGTCACAATCGATAGACAAAGTCGAAAATATAAAGTAACAATTTAGGCTACTGACACAATTTAAGGAAAAGTCACTTTTTATAGTTAAACTTGCGGTTTTTTAAGGCTTAATTGAATTAACGCTTATTTTAGCACACTTAAACAATATATTTAAACACAATTTATTTCTTAATACTATCGAAAACTTATTATTTATTTAATTTATTCAAAATGTATGTGTTGTGTGTTTATTGACTTGATATGAGACTCCCTAAAACTCCGCTTTACTTTCAAAGCTTCGCTACTCTCTCTACACGTAATATTTATAAAAACTTCCCTTTTGTGTCTCAAAATGATCTTCAATCCACCCCAACCCTGTAATCCTAGTCATAATAGCTGATGCTGTTGATACTTGTTTATATTTATTCATTTTCTTAGCTCAAAAGGAGCTATTGAAGAAATTAATTTGCAGCATGTGATGAACGTTGAAGGTTCAAGGTGGATGGAAGGTAAAATTGCTATATAGCAATGCGTTAAATTTTTTATCAAGCAAAGAGAAGATTAATACTGCAATATCTGTCCGCATTAAACACGCATGAATAAAAATTAGGTCATTGATGGGATTGTAAATGAAACATTGTGGATTTAACTTTTGCGATTGTGGCCTTTTTGCTCTTTTTTTTCGTTAATTCTGTGCTTATTAAAATAATATTTTTTATTTCAATAAAAAAAAAAATAAAATTCTGAAACTGAAAAAGTTTTCGAGTGAAAAATTCATTGAAAATTGATGTTGCTGCAGCTGCGATGTTTCATGTTAATGCTTCATAATGTTTGTCAAAAACGTTGAAACATTCAACATGCAACATTGAAAGCTCGCACATGCTCAGTAAGGATTGAAGAGCTTTTTGAGCTTTCGGATTTTTTGTGTGCTTTGCGCTTGTGTCGTGAGAAACTTGAAAGCTTTCGGCATTTTGCTGCTTACGCGAAGTTTATCTTTGAGATCTCAGTACCGTTTCTCATGCGAACAGATGTGGACCTGAATATTAAACCTTCTTTTTTTAAGCTGTCTCAAAGTATGACGCTGATAATGGTTTAATATATTCTAATATTAGTGTCGCTTCTTTTAACATTCAAAACACACAAGGTCAAAGCTACAACGTGAAGCAGCAACAATATCTATTTTTATTTTTATGATCCTAATAATTCTCATCGTGAGCATCCTCATTATATTGATTATTATTTTTGATAGAAATATTTTATGATGAAGTGCTTGTGGCACTTAAATAATTTTGATTAATCCACATTGTTTTCTTATTTTGTTGAGCTCACGTAAAAGCTCATTAAAAATTCTAAGAAGATTTTAATTGAAAAATATTTTTTAAAAGAAAAAGATTCTCTAAGGGACTTACTGCTAAACGCATGTATATGATATTTCGTCTTTTTTTCTGCTTCTTGAATTAAGAATGTGTTGTGGGAATTTCAATTTTAATATCATAATCCTACAGATGATATGATTCTTTTTTGTTCGGATTATTGAAATTCTCGTGTTCAAACAGAAGTAATATGAAGAAGTCATGGATTTGCTTTCAACTAAGAAGTTATTTTTTTTTAAATTAAATGTCATTAAAGCATTGAAACTTTACTGAATGGCTGTTATTTCAATAAAAGTGGTTTGAATCATTTTTAACAGTTTTTTGCAATTTGAAATTTTAATAGAATTATAATATTGCAACTTAATAGCAAGTAGCTTGCCCTTTAATTATATTTATTCTTCGAGAGTTATTCTTCAGATCAAATTATCAAAAAAGTTCATCTTTTATTCAATTTATCTCAAAACAAAGCTATCCACTCGTTGTCAAGACTATATAGATAGCTGTTTAAAAAATTATGCAATTTAAATACGAAATTTTTGAAAAAAAAAACATTTTCTCTGCATTAAAACCTTTTAAATCAAAATTTGTTGAAACAAATTACCAAATTTAAGCTAGAATAACTAGCTTCTCGACATTAATTATTGATCAGCACACTCATAAAAAAAAATTAATAAATTTTATTAAAAATGTATGAAAAAGTTTAATAAAAGTTTATAAAAATACATCTTGATAACTTTTACTAAAATTTGATAAGGGTTATTAAAAGTTTTGGTTTTACAAAATTGCATTCAAATTTTACAAAACCGTTAAAATTTTAATAATTTTCTTACTAAACTTTAGTAAAAAGTTATTAAGATGAATTTTTATAATTTTTATTAAATTTGTTCATGGATTTTAGTAAAAAGTCATTAAAATTCTTGGATTATTTTTTTTACAAAAACAGCTTTATAGTATAATTAATTTATAGTATGGAGCTTTTTCAAGTCTTAAGTAAAATGCTTTCTCAAAGCTTAAGACTTTGCATGATTTTTGGCACTAAATGTGCCTCATAAGAAATTAATAATTTTATATGACTTTGTATGAGAACTAAGACATTGTTTTGTATAAGTCATTTCTGGGAGCGTTTGTGAAGTATATAAAATGTATGAAAACCTTACAATTTTGGTTAAGATAAGATTTAATAACAAATTACTAAAAATATTTTTATGAGTGCATCAACATTATTCAACTAAAATCTGATTACTCAAAAAGAAACAACATAAACCTTGATTTTTGATATAAAAATACTCTAATAATTTTATAAATCACTATATTAATGTTAAGAGATCAAAAAAGGACGCTGAAAATTTCAAATCATCAAATATGTCCAAAAGTTCTCTACGATTTTTCTTTGGACCCAAAAAAAAACTTTTTCTATTTAATTCTACTTCTTGTTCTTTCTTGAAGCCGAAAATCACTTTGATATAGCATGACACGACAGAAACCAAGCAGAAAAATGTAGGGATATAAATTTCTTAATCAGATTGTATTAGATTCGGTAGAGTTTTGCTTTTTGGAATGTCTAAGCTAAATAGGAAAACAATTCAATGGCATTTTGATTGTTTGATATGTGAAAATTACCTTATTGTTGTTGATATGCAGAATTAGAAGCAGAATTAAATGCTGACACAAGAAATGTCCTTTTAATAATTATAATGTAACCATTTAGCAGCTAAGTCATCAACTGCCTAATGAACTTACTATCTTGATGTTTGCTTTGTCATGAGAAATTATAATTTCTATCTCAAGGCTTTGTCATCATAAGAGCAACCTTGTTATCTCTAATTTCAAGGATATATCTTTGCTCAAACAAATTCAAAGCTTTGTCAAAAGCAGAAAATTTAATAATTGATAGTCATCAGATATCAAAGAGGCCACTTGTGATATCGCACTTTAAAAACTTTGGCGCTGTGTTATAGCGAGATGTGAAACATTGAAATAATTAGCTCTACATAAGCTCAAGTGGAGTCACTTAACTTGAATTATATTTAATTATTAAATCGATAGAATTTTTTCCAAGAATATCAAAGAAAAAATCTTAAGAGTTTGATTAATTCCTACTTTTTATCCAATTAATGTTTGAGTTTTTTTTTAAATTTCCCGCGCTTTCTAAATTGTGTTTACATAACTTCATATGATTGAAAATTGCAATTGGAAATCATTTATCCAATATTAATGAATGGAAAACGTTGTCATTAGCTTTGCTCAGTCTTTTTAAGTCTCTCAAAGTCATTTAAATAAATCAAAAATATCAAATTAGGCTAAAATTTGACTGCAAAATACGGAAGTGGAATAATTTGAAAACATTAATTTTTTAAACCTTAAATATAATTAGTATCAAGACTTAGGATTTAAAAAACTTAATATATATATTTATCTTGCAAAACTTTGTCCTAACGACTTTATGTTTAATAATTCCTTAAAATATTCAAACAATTTATCAAAAAAATAAATTTTCATTCCAACTAAAACTTTGTTGCTCAATTGCACAGATTTTAAAGTTTCTAGAATTAAATACAACTCAAATACAAAACAATCATCTATTCTTAAAAGACAGAGGAAGGAATAACTTGAACTTTTTCTTATTTTCCATACAAAAAGAGATAAAGCAAAATAATTTTGTGACACAAAGTATCAGAACTAAGTACTTATTTGTTGTATGTGTAATGCAATTCATGAAGTTTTCTCGAAACTATGATAAAGAGCTTAAACAGGAAATATGTTGGTGCTGTAAGTATGGAACGATACGAAAGTAGAACAAGAAAGATTTTTGTACGAATGTCAATAAGCTATCACGTATTCAGATAATGAACATTCTATTGGCATATTTTTGGCATTAAAATTCAATTTGATATTTGCTGAAATAAAATGATTTCCTTATTGATGGAAATGAAAGTTTTTTTGGATGCTGGAGGAATATTGGATAATAAGCTATAGTACAAAGCATCTTAAGGATATTGAGTAGGCAAACTTTGAGTTTTAATATTCTTTGCAAGCAAAGCAACTCCAAATCCCTGCTGACCCTTTGGGACCTGTATTTTTGCCTCCAAAGCTGTAGTCAAGACAGCCTTCAGAAAATCTCTGACTACGCCTTAAAACTAAAAATCATGTGCATAAGCAGTTGTTTATTATTTTCCAAGAAATCTGCCACTCTATGCTTATCATTCTTTATTTAAGCCTTTATCAAACAATAAAACTTTTCTAAATACCCAACATAACGTTGCAGCATCATGCTTTTGATTTTTGAAGGACATTAAAAGCTACTGTCATATTTAAGAAGATTAGAATGACATTTTCCCTCCTTTTTACCTTTTTTTTCTTTATCTGCAACCCTCATTTCTTTTTCTCTTGCTATTTTTCCTTTCATGTCGTTTACCAAAGTAAATTCCCATAGTGGCTTTCGATGTCTGTGTGCATGTATGATAAGAGTCAAAAATGTCAACAAATGAATGATATTAATCTCTGAAATTACTCATTGTAAGTAAGAAACGAGTTTGTATTACTTTGACCTACAATGTTCAGTTCTGTACTCGCTGTACTTTCTCTTTATCTTTTTTTAGTTGAGCTTTATGTGGAAATTTATGATTTTGAATCGCTAATTTTTAAGAATGTATGGAGAGGATAAAGAGAACTTTATTTTGGAAAAAGTTTTACATACGTCCAGAGATTAGAGCGCATATTGGTTATTCTTGATCAGGGATTTTTTTTTAAAAATGTTTATATTCTGATTTCTTATTAAAAAAGATTAATTTTTCAAAAAGCTCTCAATTCTGGTTCAAAAAGCTCTGATTTTGTTTCAAAAAGCTCTTAGTTCTGTTTCAAAAAGCTCTGATTCTGTTTCAAAAAGCTCTTAATTCTGTTTCAAAAAGCTCTTAATTCTGTTTCAAAAAGCTCTGATTCTGTTTCAAAAAGCTCTTAATTTTGTTTCAAAAAGCTCTCAATTCTGTTAAAAAAGCTCTGATTCTGTTTCAAAAAGCTCTTAATTCTGTTTCAAAAAGCTCTGATTCTGTTTCAAAAAGCTCTTAATTCTGTTTCATAAAGCTCTTAATTTTGTTTCAAAAAGCTCTGACTTTCTTTTTAAAAACTTAATTGATTTCGTAAGCTCAACTTTTTCAAAAAAGCTCAATAAGTTCGCAATGACTTCTAAAAGCCTGCTAAGCTTACCCAAATGATAATTTTTCTATTAAAAACAGCACCAACCCATGATATTAATCCCTTTTCCAACATCAAAAGATTAAAACAGCACAAAGCTAATAACCGACGCATCTAAAATGCATACATGCTATCCACAAACATTCCATTTCTTTGCATATCCACGATCTATGCAAAATCCCACGCTTCTAGCACCAAAAATCCACAGAGTATTTTCCAAAAAAAAAAGTGAAATTCATCCTTTTTAAAATTGACACAAGAAAGGGTTTGATAACATGTTTACACGCAGACTCTTTTTTTTTGTTTCTGCTGCCGGGTTCGTTCATTGACATAAGGATGTGGAAAAAGATCAGAGGTAACACATCTTCTTCTATTTGTAGACATTCAAATTTTTCTTATTTCATGCTTGATGTCGAGGGAAATCATATAATTTTTTACACTCTACATTCTCAATGTCTACATCCATGTATGTCAATTTAACCCTCAAACTGAACATTTCATAACTCAATCCTTTACATTTTTATTGATTATGATTTTCGCTCTCGTTTCATTGCGAACTGACATTCGTTGTTGCTGTTCTTAAAGTCCTATCTTGACTTCAACATTTTAAGCACATCACACTGTCGTAAAGACTATACAACAAGTTTTTATAAATATGTGTGTGTTAAAAAAGATTCCTTCCGCTCTTATCACTCTCTCTGACATGAAGTACTGAAGTGTGATGATCGTCTTTATGTGAAAACTCATCAACATCATTGATTAAATATCGCTTCAATGAATGTCAAATGTTAATACGTATTCATGTTAACGTTTGTGGAAGTTTTTAATAACACCTATCAAGCTTCTTGTCTTTATGAGGTGATGTTGTGCTCAAGTGTCATTAGGATGTGCTCTAAATGGTCTCGAAAAAAATGGTGTTAGGATGTGAAAGATTTTGAGTGCTAGAAACTGTGTCAATAGAATATAAAATGGTGTTGCTTACTTTATTTACTGTAAAAAATCAATTTTAATCCTTCCTTAGATGTCGCCTGAATCTGGTTTTAATTAATCAAGACTGGGACGGTTTCTTGAGCTATTTGGGGTACCCTACAGCGGGGTTCAGCGTTCTTACAAATGTGTGAACAGTTTTCAATGACAAATTTGTGCAAAGTTACAATTTCAACTAAAATTAGTTCAATCTGACAAGATTTTAATGATAACTGCTGATGATATTTCATTTTATTATAAAAATGTTGATTGTCCATTTAACCGGAAGGGTTTAGTTCCTATAGGGAAACATGTTTCTCCTCCTCCTGAACACAAAATGTTCGAGAATCAAAATGCTCTAAGAAAACAACTCAAAACCTTAACAAACCAAGATTTCACACTCCAGAATCATTTACAGCACATTCTTAAAACTTTTTAAGTGCCAAAACTTTGGCAATAAAATTTACAAACACATTCAAGCACCAAAACGAAATCAAAAGTCCATAACAATCAACCTTTTATCTTTCCTAGATTGTAGACATAATAATAAATTTGAATTTTTATTAGCTCAAACAAAAAAAGTTAAACCTCCTTAATAAACACAGAACACAGATATGTTTACATAGACAATGCCTATCAAATATTGATTTTAGAATTCTTTCAAAATGAAACAATAACCAAAATTCAATCTTGATAACTTTAAAAGCTCTTATTATTCTCCATTTGTTATTCCGCTCGTGATATCGACTTGAAATTGAGTTCTGTTGTTGCTCTTATCATAAACGTCAAAACTTGATATTTTACAATGGAAGTAGGGATTTTTGGGTTTCTTAGGAAAAGTATTGACTGTAAATAACAAATGCTGCTGGCTTTAGAGATTATCAGGAATTAAATTAAGCTCTTTGAGCATTGTTTCAATGATAATTCATTGTTTGTGGATGAATTATAGAATTATTTTACAATATCAGATTGAAAGGGTCTTAATTTCTTCAATAAAAGGGGTGTTAAACTATGATCGAATTCAAACAGTAAATTAGTCAATAAGGTTAAAAACTTATGCAAGCAGAAATTACAAGATAAGATTTCATAGCTGCAAATTGTTCAGGAAGATCAACAAAGTCAATAATTCAAAATTAATTCAGGAAACATCTTTATAAGATAAACAATTTCTGTAATATCAGCAGAACAAATTCTCGGTGTGAAAATAATTAAATTTCCATCATATAATCATGTACTAATTGCAATCATTAGTTCAATAGTCAATGTAAACATTCAGTGTAGCATTAAATCAACTTTCCACATCCATTCAAGCACAAATAATAGCGGAAGTGAGAGAAGGATGTTGATTATTGCTAAAGATATAATGATAAACAAACAAATAAACGTTTTGAATTGTGCTAATCGTGAATTACTAAAGTAAACAGAACTGATTCTATACATTTACTTAGCAATTCAAGTTGAAAGTGCTTCTTCATATCTCTCGCATATTTGACATTCGATTTGAAATCGATCAGCAATTGAATCACGATTCACGTTTACAATTTCTTGCTTTAAACTTCTGTTGACGATAAGTATTGCTTTTTACATCGAATGATTACAAGGATGTCTTTCATCTTATTTCACAATATATTTTCTAAATGCTTTCGCTTTGATAGATTATAGCTGTCAATATAAAATTTGAGAAAATTCAAGTGTAAGAAAGTTTTTATTTTCAAGAAGTTGAAGATGGAAAAAAAAAGACACAAATTTATTGCCAATAGGAAGAATAAGAGAAGCAAAATAAAAGGGATTCCAACCTTTCTTAAATATGCTACGTTTAATATTGCTATGGGCAATAGACATCTATTCAAAATGGTCAAAAATTGCTTCTAAATGCTCTCGAAGGAATGATGTCAACAACAAATTATGTTGAATTTTATTTTAAGGTTCTGTTTATTGATGCCTCATAATTGTGTTAGAACAAGAGTTTATGAATTTATTTGATGATATGCAACTTAAAATGCTTAAATTTCATTAAACTATTCAAAAACTTAGTTTTATATTTTTTAAGCATAGTTTGTAAACAAAGGGGAAATCAACTAAGTTCGGTAAACTTATTAAATAATATTTGAATTTCAAAAAACCGTTATATGAATTTAAACTCATAGATAACTCAAGTTTAACCAATTCATTGTTTTAAACGAAACTCAATACCTAGAACTTGATTCTAAAGTATCTATCTGTCAGAAATTCCCATATAAACACTCATAAAACAATTCTCATCATTGAATTAAGTAAATTTTATTACAAAATGATCGATGTTACACATCATGATATAAAATTATTTAATAGACGTAAAGTGGAAAATTATGGAAAGCAGAAAGGCAAACATCAAAAAAAAAAATAAAACCATGAAAAGATAAAGTTTTCTCGCACAGATGAGTTGATTATGAAAGTGATTCATGACTTATTCATGAATTGCTCATTTATTCAGAATGGATAGATCAATGAAAGAGGTATGGTCCGAAAAAAATTAATTCCAAATCCAATGATTGAGAATTCACATGGGAAAAAAGACTTAAAGTCGTATAAATAAACTCAGTTTTCTGTTTTCAATTTTCATCATTTTTATGTTCACAAATCTTCCATCGTACACAATTTGGATGTCCTTATCAGATCATTTGGGAATAAAAACAAGGCTCTAATCGAATTTAGATTATAAAATTATTATTATTGGCCATGAAATGTCTAAACACGCGGAAAAGTCATAAAAATGTATCCATTAAATTTATGAAAAATATATAAAATAAGAAGACTCAAAATATGCCATAATAAAATGTTCATGTCTGGGGGTTCTAAAAAATGTTTAATGTAGGCTGAGGGTGATTTTTTGGAAATGTTAACAAGTTTTTCATTTTTTTTTGTCGTTGTTATTTTATTATTATTTTATTTTATTTATTATTTATTTTAAGCTAAAGGTCATTTATAGAAGCAGAAGTGTATGTGGATCTATAAGGTTCAGAGAGTGTTTAAAGCTAGTTCTCTAGGTCATCCCTCATCTAGCTTTATCTTTGCTAACATTTTTTGAGATTAAATCTCAATCCTACCTAAACAAGCAACCTAGTGTTTACCGACAGTTGTGCTACATTTGCCCACTGGACACTTCGTGTAATTGACCCCAACTCAAAATTTGAGAACCTCTGGATTAGTTCCCTCCAAAAAAATTCCGAGCATCCCAATGTCCTCCCAGGAAACACCAAATTCCACATTCTCTCTTTTAATGTATGAAACATAACATCAATCAATTTAAATTGAGAAAGAATGTCATGTCCTTGTACATTTTTATGTTCATAAGAGTATGATACATATTCATGGATATGTCTACATACATGAGAGTCTCAATGTTAAAAAGATTCATCTTCAATTGATCGATATAAAGAGGATGTGTCAAATTCATTCTCCTTTGAATTTGTTAATATCCATTGATGATCATGAAGTGAAAATTGAATATCATTGAAAAGTCTTATTATTCAATTTATTTATAATAATATCAAAATACACTAAAGGTTTAGTCATCTGAAATGGAGCTTGATTCATTTAGTATCAAATTATTAGTTTGAAAATAGATTTTAATGAAATTGAAGCTTTTGTTTGATAATCAAGCATATTCTCTAATGCTATTAATATTATAGAATATTGAATATTAAATTGAGGATTTTAAATAATAGATTCATGCATCCATAGTCTTGAAGTTTATTGAAATTCTTTTGTTTTTTCAGAAACTTGTTGATTCGAATTTCTCGCTTCATTTTTATCTAACTTAAAACTTTGTCTGTAGATTTTATCAATTAATTTCATTGAGTTTCTTACACTTTTTCACAAAGCGAAATCGCTAAGGAACTGAATTAAAACAAAGACTTAAGTTTTCTCAATGCTAATATCAAAGACATACATACGAACTAGGAACAATATTGCTAGCATTGTGTGTTTGAATCTATGTATTGTGCGTCAGATGCTACTTTGATATTGCTGGATCTTTGGTTTTTGGTCCCGGTCATAAATTCAACTCCACTGGATGTTGCTCAAATCCCACTGGATCATCAGATTCGCTTAAGTTGCTCAAATCTAAAATGTCAGCCATATTTTTAATAGTTTGCTATAAAATGTGTCTACACAATGTCAATTTCCTCATTGTCATGCAAATTGTCTTTAAATAAACTTCTATAAAGGAAGTGCAAGAAAGCTTAAAATAAACATGTCAAGAAATAATAGAACATAAAACTATGAGTACATTAGACTTCAATATTATGCACAGTAAAGAATTTCATCGAGCACAACGATATGCTTTTTGATGATTACAGAAGCTTTCCAGTGGTTGGATATTCCACATCGTCTACACAATTCTCTACCCACAAAACTAGACAAGGTGAAAATTGCTTGTAAAGTCCACACAACCACTGTGTAGGAATGTAAAGAAAATATTTATTTCCATATTCAGGAGATGTAGGATAGTGAACAGTTTTGACGATGCTGATTAAGAAGAAAGAGACAGAAAAGTGAGATCTTCTGTTTTAGAAGGATTTTACACTCAATTTATGGCATTAGGCTGTTATTGTTTCTTTTCCTATTTTCAAACAAGTACAGAAATTTATGCGATATCATAAATTAGCTTCGTTCCTCTTTTATCAAGCAAAACAAGGATCATATTTCCAGTAAAATATTTCATATACACAGGAAAGGAGAGATTAGACTATCAAAAGGCTTTTTATTCCACTCATTGTTGATAAGTAAAGCAAAAGCTCTCTTAATCTTTATACTTGTTTATAGGATGAAACATCCGTTTCCGAAAATCCTTCATTGGGTACAATATGGATACGAGATATGAGATGAGATAAAAAAAATCTATATAAGCAGAATCATCGTGTAGAAATTTCAATTATTGGGTGGGTAATAGGCGCATTTTTTGGGTGGAGTTCTTGTTGTACAGCTGGTATTGAAGTCTGCTGAGATCTGACTCTCAGATAGCTCTTGTCATATTACGTAATATGATGAGAATATGCCCTAATTTGGCATGTAGAATATTGGATTCTAGTATAAAGCCGATCCTGCAAGTGTCAGCGTAAGACCTTAATTACCGAATTGTTCAACAATAGAACAAAAATATTCAATTCTTTCTTTTGTGAGGGTATGAGTTCGATTCCTATTAAGGATCGCTCTCTCAAGCCACTTAGATGAGCCTATTCTAGTCACAGTAAAATGTTAATTATGCCTCAGACTAGACCTGCAGTACATCGTTTTTAAAACTAGGATCTTACCTACATACTTACTTTACAGATCAATTGTCATCCATGGTCTCCCTCAGATGGCGCCTAAAGCTTAAATACCTAATTCAAAGTCTGCAAACTAGGATCTGAATACAGTAAATCGGTATCTGTAAAAGCACTAGAAACCAGCACCAGAAACCATCTTCCAATGATTACATTAAAAGTTGAATTTTAATCACTTTGCTACAAATTATTAACATAATCTCAGCTACAAAATGTGTCACATAACATCGTAAGACACATTATATACATCAGTATAAGTTTCATCAATATTAGACAACGATATGACATCATAAGACGTCTGCTATGATGCTATACCTGTCAATTTCTTATTGAGATTTTTTTTCCCATTGACTTTCTCTCCGTACACATGTTTCAATTTACTAATCCACCTGTGTGCTTATATCTTAAGTACTGTATGTCACAACTGATGATAATTTATTACATTTTCACCATCATCTCACCTGCTACGTTTGCTTCCTTACTGATTAAGGAAAAGTAATCAGTAAAGTACATAAAATTAATTATCATCTCCATTTAATCAGCAATCTAGATGAATGAAGGAAGTTTTAATGTAAACATACAGCATAAATAGACTATTAATCTTAGGCATTATTACTGCCTGTAGTTTTATTAAAAGATGAGAAACTGAAAATTTTCTATCAACACAATCAATAGATTAAGATACTAATCTGTGGCTACATATTATGTTCGGAGAAAAATTGCTTATGTTATTTTTGTAAACATATGGCTTTATGGATGCACATAGCACATAGATTGGATCGAAACGTGAAGCGCCAACGTCTGAACAACTTTATTTTTATTTCCGCTGATATTTTTTTTATTTCTGGTCGATGTACATGCTAGCATAACTGTTTTTTGATTGGAAAATTTTTAAATTCTTCAGGTTCTTCTATGTTTTGTGTATTGCTGTATTATTTTACCTTGGAATTTTCATTCAAATGCAGTCACAGAAAGTATAAATCATAGATAGAAAAGTTTTTATATTCTTTGGTGTTATAGAGCTAGATTTATAGAAGCGCATACTTTCACATAAAGAGTTAAAATATCAATTCCGGAAGTTTATGGCATCACAAATATTTTTGTTGTGTACGTA